GCCTCGGCCCTGAGCCGGGTGAGGGGCCGCGGACCTTGATGGTAAAAAGTGATGGAGCCGGTAGAAACCGCTGCACCGAGCACGGAGCTCCCTTCTGAGAAAAAAACGCCTTTTTTTTGGCCTGGCCATGACCGTTCTGAAATTCAGAAGTTAGCGGATAAATGCGGTGTGTAGATGATGTGAATCATCTTGTAGCATATATAGTAACCAGTACTTGTGACTCAGCACGTTGGCAGCAGAAATATGTAAATTGGGGACATTCTAGAAGCCATATATAATGTGTTTGAGATCCTTGCCTCTCCTTTAGATCAATCCTGTATGCTAGTCAAACCAGCGTTAGTTCAGAGTTTCATTTTTATGAACCGCTTGTCTAGCATCTTAGTGCCTGATCATTCTACCTGATCAAACGTACAGTTCCAAAGGGTATGGTTGTCAAGGTCTCCCCTTGAGTCCTGAGTTTGCTTTCCTAGTGTTTCTACTTTTGTTGATACACAAAATATGTGCAAATCTACCCCCAGTTAGCTAAGAGAGCATAAACTGTTGACAAAGCTCTGATATATAAAAGTGTGATCAAACCCCATCATGCTCATTTCTAAATGTATTTTAAAAGCTTTACTAAAAATCAGCAACTCCTTGAAAGCCAGCGCAGATAGTATTTGTATTTTTAGATAATTTCTCCTCACTTGACGTGATCATAAATAAGTTTATGAAGGGAGAGAATTTTTGGAAGACTGATGCTGTTCCTAGACAGTAGTCTGTAATTTGACTTGCTTTATACAGTTTTCATCCTTATTAGTGTGTACTGCTGACTTTGGTACTTACTTTCTAAAGCCTTCAGTTTTAGCACAGTTATTCTTGCATTTCTTGGAAACTTCCTTTCTGAGAGATCACTCCAAAATGGCTTGATGGTTTCTGGATTGGGAGGAAGAGAGGATGGGCTGAAATTTAAGAATGTGTAAAACCATGCCAATTGACAGTTGCATTTATTTTGGCAAAAGTCTTTTCACCACTTCTATCTACGGAGAATGCAGCATCATATTGGTTTGCTGATTCTAGTTTTGCAAAAGTCAGGCACTCAGTGTGCGTTCTCCACTGACACATTGTCTGCATTGCCATTTTGACTGCATTAGTGCAAATCGTGTTCACAGACATCTGTTAGGTACTTGGTATCATAGGATGAAGGGGTCCAGTCCTTATTGTGTGGAAGAAAAGAAATAGATTCACATCTGATCAAAATGCAAGTATATAAGCATCTCTAACTTATGTGGCTGTGGTATGGGGAAAGCAATGGGAAGCTTTGAAAATAGGTGACCCTTGTGGAAGGGCTTCCCTTCAAGTAATTTACAGCAGTAGACTAACTGGTAGCTTTATCTGTGTAAGAGTGATATATGCCCTTTTGACCCTGAAATACGCTGCTGAGTCTATTGACCTTTCAGGAGAACAATATGCTTTATTAGACTCCCATATGGATTTCCTTGATTAGAGGTAACTTTTGGAGTCTTAAGTGCATAAAACTATAGCGAAACTTCTGTTTAATGGAATTCAGCCTCAGTAATACACTCATGCTTGGCTGAGAAGGTATAAAAAGAAGAGTTCCTGGGCTCTAATGCACTGTATGCAGGCTGAGCATGTGTTTAAGTAACTTAAATGTTTGTACAGGATTTTGAGCTCTAGCCCCCCCTTTATAGGCAGCTCGGCACGCTCTAGTCCAGTATTTTTGTAAAGTGGCTTTCAGTGTGCTTAGTTCTTCTATTTAAGTGTTGGTATTTTCACCAAAGTCTACATCAGAGGCTTGGAAAAGGTGGTAAATGTTTTTTAAAAAAAACTGTCTAGCACAGTTTAAATAAAGCCAGAAATGCAGTTGGTGTAACTAACCAATGTTCTGATTGCATCTGAATAGTCTGGTTTTGCTCTTCATTTGAAATCCCTTCTAGCTCTTTCTTTTTTTTTCCCCTACCTGTTCACCTTCATGGTTCAAAGTTACTTCATATATCTTGTCTTTAAACATCCTTTTTTGGATGTCTGCCAAGCTACCTGGTTCTCTTGTGTCTTCCTTCTTGAGTGTATTGTGCAGTTGCTGCTTTTACCTTATTTTCTTGATATTTCTTTTTTCCTTCTCAGTTGTTGACTTTAGATATGTAGGCCAGCCCTTTTTCTCTCTGTCATCTCCCAGTAAATACATAGAGGTTGTCTACTTCCTGGTAGCCTTTTTCTCCAGAAAGTCTTTACTGCTTCCCCACTGCATTGTAAGAGAACCCAGAAAAATATTTGAACAAGCATTGAGAGGAGTGTCAGGTTAGGACTAAGAACGGCATTTTAACCGCTGCATTTTGGATCTGCTACAGATTTCTGCAATCAAAGCTCGCTGCAAGGTAGTATTCAATGCTTAGGTTTTGTCTGTTATTAAAAACTGCATTACTTTGTGAAGGAAATCACAACATGACAGAGGTACCACTGTATAAATTCTAGAGTTACTGCAGTAAGTCACGTAGATGTTACAATTAAAATTACTTTTAAAATCTGTGCTACCTCATCCCTTTACTGCTAGCTACTATATTTGGATTGTATCTGGTTTTGAAAGTTCTTTCTTTATTGGTGAGACAGACAAGTCTTTTTCCGTAGAGCTGATTTGCATTTCTGTTTTGCAAGTAAACCAGAAGTTTCAATACTTTTTCCTTTTATAGTAGAGGAAGAAATAATAGGGTAAATCTATTGCAGAAGGGAAATTTGAAAACTTCTTAATGAACGTATTGGTAATGAAGAGGATGCTGAAAGACAATGTAAAGAAAAGGTGGGTTGTGTAGGCAGGTGTTCCTAGTGGGCTACTAGAAATCAAGAAACTTAGTTTCTCTAACCTAGTATCTGTCTAGCTTGATAAACCTGTAGGAAACAAATGCTGTCACTTTTTCCGGTAAGAACACTGTTGTAAACCAGTAATTATATGAAAAGCCAGCAGGTTTGTATAATCCCTGAATGCTTGAAGCACAGGGCCCCCTAGTTTGTGCCTTGCCTGATAAGATTCTGAGCGTGACTTTAGTTTTGATGAATACATGAGCAGTTTCTTTTATTTTAAAGAACTGCTTTAATTGTAAATTTCAAAATTGAAAATGAGTCCCTAAGAATGATAGCATAGGTAAGACGTTCATCAGTGATGCTGTAGCACGGGTGTTCAGGTTAAATCTTTGTAGCTGCCATCCCAGTGATACCAGCTCTTAATTTGAATTTAGGGGTTTATACTCACTGTATAGTTTTGAGCTTATTCTGCTGTTGTCTTGCTTGTTCAACCAGGTATATCTGACCAGACTCCAGCATCAAGTTCTAGACATCCTGAAAATAATTAACAGAAGTCTACATCTTGTCTTAGTTGCCTGTTGCATTTTACATCAGTCAGTTCATAATTTGAACTGTAATTTGGATCAATAGATCTTGATGGTGAACTACAGATTAAGAAGCATGAAGCTGCCAATTTTTTAATGGAAGCCTTCTATGTTATGAGTTATCGGTACTGTTGGAAATTTGTTGCTTATGTTGGAATAGATCAGTTAATCATACTAAAAGGCTGATTAGTGCGTCGCTGATTTGTAGGAAATGAAACATGTATGCATGCGCTGATGAACTTACCTTTCTCTTGATAGAGGTGGCCTCAGCAACATGCTGTTTCAGTGCTCACTACCTGATACCATTGAGACAGTTGCAGATGAACCACGGAAAGTTCTCCTGCGCTTATATGGTGCGATCTTGCAGATGGTGAGTACATGGAGTGCTTTGGGAGTGGGAGGGTTTCTGTAGCTTAATTGTAATGTGTTTGGAGGTCTTAATTTGTGACACACTGCAAGTGTGTGCTGCTTTATCCTTTTGGGAATGTGGTTCAGTGGTAGTGGGGTAGATTGCTAGCTTAAAGGAGTTTTCTTTATAGTTTGTTATTGTCTAGAACTTACACTCCTTTCTATACAGATCCTGACTGGCGTGTATCAGCTGAAGGCTCATTTGCTGTCCGTTTGATCAGTAATGTTTTGTTTATGGTGTTAAGTTTGGACTGTGGTGTTTCAGAAAAGTTATCAAAGTTTGCTTCTGTACAGTATGTAGGACTTTGGCATAACTAGCAAGATTGCAACAGACTAAACTGCTTAATTTTAATCTTGGTAGCACTTACAAATCTCGGAAATTAAAGTTGAAGGTTTTGTCAAACTTGCACAGTGCTCAAGCATTTTATTAGATATCACGGGTAATTGTGTTGCTGGAAAATTTGATCTGTAGTGTTAGAATAAAAATGAAGCACAAACATCAATACTGTATAGCCATCTCATTCCAAAACATGCTTTCCTAAATGTGTGATATGCCTTGCAGCTGGCATAGAAGCTTAACCAGATGTTTGTCGAAATCTTTTAATGTTACTTTTATTTGGTTAGTAAAATGTAAATAGCATTGAAATTTGTCAAACCTTAAGAGAAGTGGTTGGCAAATCTGTTTCAAACTGTAAGGTTTAAAATCAAGAATATTTTGTAAAGGTGATCTCTTCTAAAGCTTACAGGCTGTTACTGTAGGACTGTACAGCAGATCTTTTCTTACCCATCTCTGCTAGACACTTGGATTATATTGTAAATAAATAATTTTAACATAAGTGTTTAACCTTATGAAAAATTGCAGCTTCATAAAATTACATTTGGATGTTGGCAATTGTTTCTATTTGACTTAGAGGGTCTGGTTTTATTAGCCATTAATTTGATATTTTCCAGTACTCAGTCACTTGCTTTGAATAACTGGTCCAATATCTGCAGGAGATTGACAGTTCCTGAAATCTCAGCCCATTCTTCCTGCTTCTGCTACCTTGACCAAACTTATTATTAAAAGTCTCATTGGATACTGTCACTTAACTGGCTTTAAAGTATTCTTTTATTATACTATGTAAGGTATTAACTTTCCTGTGGTAGCAAACTTCAGGACAAATATGTAGAAGATTCCAGTGGTTTGAAATAGCATGAAATGCTTGGCTACACCACTGTGTGTTGGGAAAGTTAAACTGTTAAACAAGAAAAGTGCGTAGAAGTTCATTAATTCAAGCTTAAATAGTCTTTCCTTTAGTTTAAGAGAAACCAAAAGCAAAGTGATAAAAATGGTGGTGAGAGAATTTGTTTCAAAATGACTCCTAGGGTTGATGCTAAGAATTTTTTTCTGAATTATTAATGGCTTTAATGTAATGATGACTTAATATGTAGAAGGCTTGAGTAGGAACATGGGCTGTAAACCTCCTGTAGTGGTAGAAATTCTGTTGCCCAAGTGCTGTGAAGAAACGTGGCTTTTCCCTTATATTTCAAAGGAAAAGTAAAGTAGACTCTAGAATTTGGTTGCCCTCCTCTTCCCTCAGGGTTTTTTTAGCTTGCCTTTTCTGTGCCCCTATCCACTGAAGAAATCAAAATAAAATTTTGGGCTCTAAAATCAGAACTAATTTGGTTTGAAAATTGAAAGTGTGTTCATAACTTTCTAACCTTTCTACTCTTGGTGTTGAAGGATCTTTTGAGATGTCTAACTTCCTTTATTTCCGTAGTGGCAGTGAAATGACTGCTCTTGTTGGTGCAGTTCACTAAAGGTTAAGTAAGCAGAGAAAGTCCCAAGGTAAAACTTTCAGATTGCATTGAGGTTCACAATTTTTGTCAACAAACATTTGTCTCTTCCAGCCCCTCTATCTTAAATGCAAGTTAAAATATAAGCAAACTGTTTTATTGGGGTATTTTGAAAACCTCACTTGGGATTCTTATGAATTTCTGGGTGGCATAAGCAGAGTTTTATGACAAGCCTGTTAAGAGGGAATAATTTGATATTTTTTAGTAATGTTGCTTGGATTTAAAGCCCTATAGAAATTAAGGGACACTGCTTAAATAAGTTGAGTTTTGAGACCTTATACTAAAATCACAACTTAATTCTCAATTACGTAATTGTAACTGCCACTGGGTATTAGTAGTTACCACTTGTTTGTTTGAGCCTTTGTAGCATGTTTTAACTCTTGTCCATTTTACTTTCTGTTGAAATTGGAGCACAAACCAGTGATAATATCAGCTCTTCTTACTCCTTTACTGTAAATACTATAGATCTATAGTAATCTGCACCAAATTGTTGTATGTGCAGGAGACAAGTTTAAGTTAAAATTTTGAATAGAAGTGAAAAATAGATACCTGATACTAACTTAAGAATGAATGATACTGGCACCATAATTCTTTGAGCCACCTTTTAAAGGAACCTTTTTTGCAGTTTGAAAATAGCCCCAGTTTGCTTATTATGAATCTTGGAAGACACAAATGTCAGTACATGAAACTCATCCAGTACAAACCATGCCAGTTGGCTAAAGCTGCCACTCAGGGAAGGCTTTGTGCCTTCCTCTGTCATAGCTGATATGTTTAAGCCAATTTTTTGTGTGCATGACTGTTTTGGGGGGGGAGCTGGGGGGACTTGAACTGAGCTGGCTCAGCCATTATTGTGAATGGTTGCACTGGCATGGATGTTAAAAAAAAGTTCCACTCAAGGATATACTCAAGAGAAGTCCTTGATTTTTAAAGACAAGTATTTGTGCTTGTGACAGGTTGAAGTACTAACCACATTAAAACTCAAATGTTTGAGGCACAATGCAGATATGTTCTACACTGAAAAAAGGGAAATGTCTTACTCTGCTTCACTTATTCTTGCTCCAGCTTAGTTGCTAAATTTAAAGGGGAGCATTGAAAGTAAAACTTCCTCATGACAAAATGTCTTTAACTGTTAGCTCTATCAGGAAAATATTCTCCAGCGATATGCCATTTGATGTCCAGAGTTTAAGACTGGATTTCATATGCAGATCACTGTAGTGTTTCTACTTAAATTCAGAACAACCAAAACTTCCCACATCTTAGAAATACTGATAGGATTTCAATATAAGATAGCATCAACAAAAAAAAAATTCTTTGAAGTTCACCTATCAAAAGGTAACTTGGGGATTGATTCCCATTCTTTTACACATGTCAAAAGAACCTTGAACTCTGATTCACTGGGGCTCTTTTACTTTGCAACAGCCAAAACAAAATCTTGTATATAAATGAGGAAAAACAAACCAGTGTATACCTAATGTTTCTCTCTGGTCTCTCAATTTCCATGTGAGCAGACACAAAATAAGTATAAATGGTTGCCACAGTTCTGTGGTAAATCTTTTCCATACCTGCCTTGCTGCCTTTTATTTTTTGTAACTAAATAAAATGCAGACTGCTGTGTAACTGTAATTATCAACGTCTTCTGTGGTTGTTGGTGTCCATGTCTGTTTGTAGCATGGAGTAACTACAAATCCCTGGCACTGGCAGACGGCTTGAAAGAAACCAAGCACCTCTTACGGGGATATATTTGTGTTGGGTGGAGTTAAGGGTATTCTGGGGGTAATGTACCACTTTAGTTGTATATGCATGTGTTCTCTGCTGCAGGCTTGCCCATGCGATCGTGCCTAGAGCACTCTGGTTTCCAGGTGACAGACACGATTCACGGTATAGTATGAGATCTCTGAAGTTGGAGCATTCTCTACAGCTTTCATTTTCTTTAGTACTGGATTTCATTGTTTAAAAATAAGGCTTAAGTAGCACCAGCTACTGTCTGTGCATCTGAATGTTTACAGGAATAACAAAATATCAAAGTACTGCCCCTTCCTTTCCTCTGCTCCCTCATAAGAGAATGGTAACTTGAAATGAAGAGGATTAGAGATGTCTTTGTGGCTTTTGTAGGGCTTGAACTGGGCATTATTCTTATATGCTAGATTCTAGGACTTCAGCAAATCAGTTCCTTCAGGTCTGGCAGGGATCAGTGATCAACAGCAGATTCTTATAAGCAGGAACAATATTCACTGAATCTAAAACTGTTTGTGTTCCCATACCCTGAAGTTCAAATTGATGTCTTCCAACAGCTTCTATAATTAAGAAAAGCTTCCCCTGCATAGGTTGCATCTAACTTCAGGCAGTTCCTTGTAATGTTGTAATTCCTTGGGATTTCAATTCCTAGTAATTTGTCTAAATAAAAGTATTGCAGTGTTTTGAAGTCTTGAAAACTACTAAAGCTGAGTAAACTCAGAAAAATGGAGCTATAATATAAGATTTAAATTTGTGGGCAGAGCTAAGGGTTATGAGGGGGTGGGGGGAATTGCAAGTTCCTCCTCTATACAGAATTCTCCTGCCAAGCATCATTTGGGATTTTTGATGCAGAGCTCATCTACCAGATACAAGACAAAGAAATTTGGGGCATTAAGGAGAAAATTACGAGGAACTCAAATTTCTGTGTCAACTGCCAGACATCTAAACGCTGTCTGGTCATCTTCTGATCACAGGTCAAATAATGTACAATGTCTCCCGTTCCAGGACTTTCATCTTGTACCTGAAGCTTCCTGCCTTTAAATGAATTTACATGATCACAAAGTAGACTCTATAACAACTTTTGTTGTCTCTGTGCTTGTAGCTGTCTTCCCTTACTAAAATTGTAGTGAGCTTTCTTAATCTGCTTTTTGAGAATAAACGTTCTCACAATAAAAGAAGCACTGAACAAATATTTAAAGAAATCTTAAAGGTGTAGAACATGTGTCCATTTCTAGTTAATATTTGCATATAGAGAGTGTGACTAAAAACCTCCAGCAGTTACTCAGTCATTCTCTTACTTGGGTAATTCAAATCTCCCCGTTGCTGTTGAAGTAAATAGCTCCCAGAATTGGACATAAGTTGGAGTGAGCTCTTAGAGTTTATGGAAGAACTGAAGTTTTGATTGGTTTAGCCAAGAACACATGAGCTAAATACATAGATCACATACCTCATGGTATGAGATGTTTTACTTTGAACCACTGTTCTCATAGGTGATTGCAGTCAGAAAACAAATCAAATCTTATCTCTTTAACATCTGTTAAACTTTGAGAGTTAAACTCTTAAGCTTCTGTTACATAAAATTGCATCCTGTTTACTTCATTCTCCTTGACCACATGTACTGGAGACACTCCTAATTTTAGGCTGAGTACATGGCCACTTGTGAAGACTGATCCTCTCCAAGCTCCCATTCATATTTGTAAGTTATTTACAGATTACTTTGTATTCATTCTCCTGTGGACACTAATGCTCCATGCTGAGGGAACAGAAAAGAGGAAGGGATGCTGCAGAAGTCTCCTTTTCTGATGACTCTGCAGTATGCATCCCTAACTGTCTCTTTCTAATGGCACAGTAGATGCCATTAGGCTATCTCCAACACTAATTTGAGGTGGACTCTTAGAACTGGCTAGCTCTTTATACAGTATGACTTCTGGAAAGTGGATGCCAGTTCAGGTTCTAGGGAAAAGCCTAATCTGCTTACCTTCTGATGAACTGAACCATTCTGAGAGCACCATTAATCAGGAAAGACTCCTGGATGGTGAGTAACTTTCTGACTGTTCAAGAAAAATCTGTAAGATGCAAGAGTGGTATTGATGTAGGACATGCTTGTTCAGAGAAGCCCTCTGTAAATGACTTTAATACTATTGAGTAGTTATGCATTTAGCTTTAGTGAATATGTTTTGGCTTTATTAATTTCCTTGAAAGGAATATAAACTAATTGTAGTTTTCATATTGTCTTGTTTTTAAACTTACTATCCTAGTGGAATGGGAAGTACTTGCTGAAAGACCATCGATTCATGTTAACTATACTTCTTCTATAGTTTCTGAAATACTGTAACTGCATAGCTTGTGTAAATCATTAGCTTGTTGTATTGTACTTAAGGCAGCTGGTGTTGCTTAACTGTATTCCATTAAGATCATATTTCCACCCTTGTTTTGGACATGTTAGAGCTTTGGAACAGAAAGGTATGCACATGGTTCTATGAATCAAATGTTTTTGTTCAGAAGGTGAAGATGCAGGCTACCTTTATGGGCCTCTAAAGCTAGTCTGGTTTAAACAGTCAACGGTGGAATTGCAACATAAATAGCAGCCACAAACTGTCACTAATTCTAAGCAAATATTTGCTTTTTCTTCTCCTTACCTTCGAGCCCTTTAAAGGACAAGGGTTTTATTACGTCTTGAGTTTTAAATGTGCAGCTCTATTAAAAGCATGTGCCATTGAGGGTGCAGTTGCTAAGAGTGTGGTTTGATACTCTGAAACTGCCTTATAATGACTGTTAACAATCCTAGCACAATAAATTATGCATGGAATTTGTTAAAGTTTTGCTAGTATACTGCAGTTCTTACTGAGACTTCTTTAGCTTACATGGGCAGTTCATTTGAAGAAATAAAATAAAACTTCATTCTCCTTGACCAGTGGTAATTGTACATGTAGCCTAGACAGCATACTGTAAATAAGGAAATTCTAGTCACAAAAAATTTGGAAAATAAGGTAATTGCAAAGCACTTGCTTTTTTCTAGCTTCAAAACATGCCTCTTCTAATAGTTCTTGAGGCTTTTGTCATCTCTGTAACGTGTCTCTTAAGTGCTTTAGCTGCAAGAAGACTATCATCCCAGATGTCATGCAGAGGGACTTAATTATTCTCTTAATTAAAAATGTTCCTCTAAGCTTATGATACATTGAAATCTTGTTTTGAAACACTGGGAAGCAGTAAAAACATACCTGAAATCAGCTCTCAGGCTGTTTACAGGAGTGGCTTAGTCTCAGTGGCACATCCTTTTGAAAGATTTTGGAATTGTTGCAATAGTGTGGTGGGCAGAGGTCAGGTGGATACTAGTGCTGTAGCTGTCACAGATCAAGACAGTGTTGAGACATCTAGTTAATTGTAGCTGGCACTTCTGTTCCCTTTGTTCTGGTGGTTGCAGGTTAATAATGTTAAATTTCATCTTCTCATTGTGTTTGCTTTTTCTCATTCATAGAGGTCCTGTAATAAAGGAGAGTCTGTACAGTCTCAGAAGGAAAATGACTTGCAAGTGAGTAATTAAACTTGTTCGCAGAATTTTATAGATGATAGAGAAATGTGGTGATCCTGCTTGTTCTAAACCAGTAGTTGCTCCAACTGGTGTCTGGACTGTGTTTCTAGACACAGAAACAGTGATGAAGAAAAGAAATCTAGTTGCTCATAGAAGTAACGTTATAATGTGAGTGTCTGCACATAGTTTGGAAAGATTTAAGCATGCCACATTAACAAGAAGCACCCCCTCAGTTCTATCCTAGATGGTTTCTTACTGTTTCTAGTATTGGTATCAGTACTGCTATTTCTAATACTAGGCTCTTTATTTAGTAAAGGAAGATCAGTACTCTGCTTTACCTTTATTTTATATCTCTATAAATTTTTTATAATATTGAATAAATTTTTTATATTATTACCTTTATTATGTTTTAATATGTTGATGAACTCTTCTGAGGAAAGTATATGGAGCTGGAGAGACCTTCCTCTTGAACATGAAGTGTTTCTAATTAGCATTGTGCTTGGGTCATCTGGGTTCCACAAACTTAAAGTTCTTGCATTTGGAACCATTTCTGCTCATGTAGCATAATGTTTAGCTGAGTGTAATTTTTCATAAAGTCATCTGAACGGAATTTGGTAATTTAGCTTTCTACCCCGGCAGTATTTTTTCAGTAAGGGATAACATTGCAGTATGTTGGCCAGATGCATTGCTTGTTATGTACTATCGTTTTTCAGCTCTGTAATGGTTTTGGCAACAATTAGGAAGAAGTACCTTTTACTTGTTAAGTGCTGCTTTTCTTCCCTTGTATTTTCTATCTTACGGGAATGCCATCTGAAACAGTTCAAGCGTTTGTTTCTTTTTCTAGTGAGTTGAAACTGGTTTTAAAATTTTTGTTGTTGAATAACTGCTTTTGAAGTTTTGCTGAACTTTCGGTTAAGTTTACTGGAACAGCTTCAATCAGTTGAACCAAGATTGTGCTGAAAAATGTACTGGTTTGATTCCTCGTCAGTTCTCTACAGAGATGAAAAATGGAGGTGGCTTGATATTTCCCCTCGCCCAATCCAATAAAAAAAAAAACTTCCTAAAGTTACAGAAGAAAACAAAAAATCTAAACAAGACCCACCCTGGTGCCAGCAGCTCATAAGGTTTTGCAGTACAGGAAACAAGGCTTTGAACTTCAGAACTGTCTTTGTTTGTTGCCTGAAAATAGTGATTCTATGTTGGTAGGGGTTTGGTTTTTTTTTCTACTATTAATCTCATAGTGCTTACTGTTGGATCAGTGTACTCAAGAATTCCTGTCAGGATGGATTTGTTAATTTTCTTGGGTCTGGGTAAAAACTGTAGATAGGTTTGGTCAGAGGAGTTAATGTCATCCTTTGGAGAGAAGAAAAACCTCTGGGTAACCCAAAATGTTCTGGAAATGCAAAAGCATTGTAGCTGTTCTGAGCTGCCTGGTGTTTGACAGCTGTGACTAGAGATGGGGCAGTCTTCTGTCAGCTCATAAGGTCTTTTAATAAGAGATGATCTGTGGTTTACCTTGGTTTTGCTATGTTTGGGGTGATTTTCCTCAAAATACTACTATTTCATGTATTGTATAGTGAACTTTTTGTTGAAACAAGAATAAAGCAGGAGCTTCCATTCCAACTGAAGTATAGAAAGTCTATAAATCTCTCCTTGCCTGAATGGGAGTTGTGTTCTGCAAAAGTCTTGTAAGGAGTGTTTATAATTCTTGGGTTTCAAATGCAACATTCAGCTCTAAGTATTCATTTAAAAGTGTCAGTGGTCAAATCTTCCCAGAAACTTGTTTTAAATCCAAGTGCTCATGGTTACATCTGTTTGAAACTGATTAAGATTGAGAGCTTCAGAGCTTAAAACAGGTTGCTGTCTTTGCAGTATATTGCAAGGAATATTGCAAAATATTTGAAGGCATTGAGATACATAATTTACTTAGTTACAATGCTTGATCCTTTAAAAGAGTCATAAGGTGGACATTTAACTGAAGAGTTAGGATACCTAAGTTTGCCCATTGTCCATGATATGAAGTATGCTATAGAATTTTCTGATGTCCTTTAGTAGTTTATTTCCACGCTTGTACTTGACAGCAGTGTATGGAGTGGAGACTTGGTAAAAGGTCCATCAGGTATTATGAAGGAGAAGCCTTTGTGCCTGAGATACAGTGATGGTATTATTGTAGAACCGTCATTGGACTTGTTCTTGAGTGACCATTCTGTTACAGTAGAGGAAGCTCTTTTGGTGCTGTAAACTTTTTTGTCTTTTAAGAGTGAGGCACCAGAGTGAATATTCTTGTACTGCTGCTTTTAGATAGTATTTGCCTGTATTTTTTTAATCCTGAAACCAATCTTTCATGGAGAGATGCAGCCATCCTTGTTAACGCTGCTGACATAGAAGTTTACAAACTTGCAATCGTGTAGATGTGGATTATCTGAAGGTTCTAAATTTTTAAGCATGTCTTAAAGGAGTAGGGCTAGGCAGACGTGTCAGAAATAACCTAGAAGTGTGCTGTTGAGTAACTAGAAATGTCACTATTTCAGGTTGTCACTTCTGATGCCTTAAGGGACATCTTAATGAAGATTATTTCTTTGGCACTTGCTGTTATCAAAGTATCATGAGTTGATTTTTCAGTAGCATGTGAAAGCAAGGAACTGACATCTTAATGGGAACAGCCAACAGGATTGCTGTAATCGGACTTCTAAAACATCCTGGTGTTGTACCAGGCACAGACAAATTCAATATCTGCTAATAATGGAGTAGACATTCAGTAACCCGTATCTAATTTGCTTTTTAGTGCTTGGCACTAGGCTTCAGAATTGAACTGAAAAGTTCAGATCTGTGGTGCTGAGGGCATGTGACATGATTAAAAGTATGTATTTTTGATGCATTAGTTCTGCTTTGAGGAGTTGAGATGGAAAAACAGTGGAGGACATGGATGCAATACATTCATATGCAAATTATCTTAAACTCTCAGTTGGTATTCTTGATGACTTTTTAAACTTTTATTGCAATTAATGCTTCAGAACATAGTTACATGAGTCTTTCCTACACTTCAATATGAAATGCTAGAATTTGTTGAGAAGGTGCCAGAAAAATAAAGTGTGTGCCAGTAATAAAAATAATTTATCAATGGAACTGCCTGGAGGGTATTCAAGAGTGGAACTTCTATAGAAGGAGTTGTTTACTGTCTGAGATTGCAGTGACTACAGTAACACAAAAGTCTCTGTGGTCCAAAATATCTGAGAGCTTTCTTAATTTTGTGCTCTTGATTCTTACGCTTTTAACTGTCATGGGTCAGACTTTGAGATGAGTTGCTCAAAAGTAGGCAGAGGCTTAGAACACCTCTAGGATTTGAGTACAGCTGGATTCTGGTTAACATATTTGCTAGAAGTAGTGATTTATACTGTGGCTTCTGTGTTTACAGCTACTCTTACCCATCAAGAAAACTATACTTTGGTGATTTTTAACTGTGTTTTTAAGAAATACTTCATATTTCTATTAATTTTTAAATATTCATTAAAAATCTGCCTGCTTGTGATTGTTAAGGACTGAGTTTATTGATGCAAAGAAAACCTTGAAAAAAAGTTGCTGAAACTTGAGGTATGTTTGGAGCCAGAAAAGAATGCTTATTCATGCACACATGCTCCTTAGCAGGAGTTTAAATTATTCTCTCTTAAGCATGTTTTTGGTGGTTTTTTTTTTTAAAAGGAAACAAATCCTAAGTCATTCTTCTAAATGAAAAACTGGTTAGTTCAGTCATTCACTTCATTCACTTGTATAGTTAAAATGTCCTTTTGTGAGGCAGTGTTCCAAGCATAATATTTATAGTTCCTGTTCTGTGCTTCAGTAGGATAAACTCTTTCAGGAAATGAATTTGCAGAGTTCCCACAGGTTAGGGAGGAGAGGGTGTTTTGGTTTTTGCATAGTTTTCCTTTGACCTGGCCCACCAACAGTACCTGCTAAGTAATACAGACTTTTCCCCAGCTTTAAACTTGAAAGCAAAACATTTGTTTTTCCTATGCTAGCTACAAGTTGTTACTAGTCAAGAAACTTCGGTTAGTAAAATGTTGGGTCTTCTTTTTAAAGCAAAGGCTAAGATTTCTCACTTTGTAGCAGTTTAGCTATTGTGCACACCTAAGTTCATTCCTGTACAAGCACCAACTACATTCCTGTGCAAGCACCAATTAATGCTTTTTTTTTTGTAGGGGGCAGAAGCCATGGTTCTGGAAAGTGTTATGTTTGCCATTCTTGCAGAGAGAGCTCTTGGCCCAAAGCTGTATGGAATCTTTCCGCAAGGGCGACTGGAGGAATTCATTCCCGTAAGTCCTGTTCATGATTAGTTAGCGGGCTGCTACTAGCTGTTTTAATTGATCATGACAAGAAGCTCTCTGGACTGCCCAGAAAAGCAGGGATGTGGGAATGGAATACTTGGCAGCCTGTAATAATTGCTCGCTGTAATTTGATACAGCTATAGTGGGTGTTGGAGAGCCCAATTATAGCTCTTGCCAGGGAGAGAGATTTAAAAAACTCTTCAGCTGTAGCAGAGAGTAATAAATGAAGATAAAAAGCCTGTTAGATACCAAACATAGCATTGGAAGCTATGGAGTAACACTTTCCTTTAACAGCAACAAGAGCAGATGGTTTTGATGTTCTTAAATGAAATATATATACACAAACTGATTTGAAGATATTCTTAGTGTGAGATGTGATATTCCCCAGGTCTTGATGTAGAAGAGAATTGACTAAGTCATAAGTAAGCTAGGCTGGCTAACTTTGCCTTTCCAAAGACAGTAATTTTCTAAGTTCATTGAGGAGGAAAAAAAGCTATTGCTTGAGTACTACGCTAGTATTTTAGACCGTGCTATATAGACACTAATGCTAGTGTTTGTATTTAATCCCACTTTTGTAATTAACTGTATTTTAAGAATACTGTATTTTATTACAGAGCAGGAAACTAAGTACTGAAGAGCTAAGCTTACCTGACATATCTGCTGAAATAGCTGAGAAGATGGCTAGATTTCATGGCATGAAAATGCCGTTTAATAAAGAACCTAAGTGGCTTTTTGGAACAATGGAAAAGTAAGTTATGCAATACTTCAAAGCACGGAAAAAAGGTGACCTGTTGTGATTTTGATAAGCAGATCATTCTTCCTTGAATGCCTGAGAGCACAAGCTCTCACTGTACCCATAAACTGTTTTATAGATACTTGAGGAACTTCAATTTACTTTGAAGAATAGTAACATCTTCTTTAGTAACTTTTTTAAAACTTTCTTGATTTTTAGTTTAAATGGTATCTTAGTATGGGAGGACTAATATACTTTCTGTCACAAATGCTGTACTATTTTCTCTATTTTTAACAGATATCTAAATCAAGTGCTGAGGATTAAATTTACCAGAGAATGCAGAACTAAACAACTGAACAAACTCCTCAGTTACAATCTCCCCCAGGAAATGAAAAATCTAAGGTAGGCTTATTTTGTCTACCACTGTCTTCCAATTTGCATAGTTTCAGTATGAATTTGTATACTTGTTCAAACACATTATACAGTGTAATACCCTATATTCATTTTACTTTACAATTTGGGGATTGTTTTTGGTTCTGTAACCAACCTGAGTCTTGTGACTACCAATTGCTGATCTTACTTGCTGATCAGTGAAGTTGAACTTCGTTGTCCTGGTCTTGGGCTCCTAATTGAGAAAATAGGGTCTTGTTAGAAATGAACAGCGCTTCAAATTCTTACAACAAAATCCATTCTTTACTTGGAAGTGGAACTGAACTTAGTGATTTGTTACTTACAAGATCCTATATTGCTGTTTTCTAGAGCTATGCTTGAAGCTACTTCATCACCAGTCGTATTTTGCCACAACGACTGTCAAGAAGGTAAGCTGCTAATGTTTCATGACCTCGCTCAGTGATGTAGTGTTAAGCTGCCTTTTGGTCACTTGTTTGCTTTCTGAGAGGTAGTCTGATTATCAAGGTACTGCCCTGGCAGCTGACCTGAAACAGCAGCCTGCAGGTCCCCAGTGTGCAACAGTTGCAAGGCAAAGTGCGTTGGCTTCAGCAACTCTTTGGGCTAATTCAGAGAACCTCTGGTATCACAACTGGATTAAGCCAAGCATGTGTATTGTTTTTCCTATGCTAGCTACAAGTTGTTACTAGTCAAGAAACTTTGGTTAGTAAAATGTTGGGTCTTCTTTTTAAAGCAAAGGCTAAGATTTCTCACTTTGTAGCAGTTTAGCTATTGTGCACACCTAAGTTCATTCCTGTACAAGCACCAACTACATTCCTGTGCAAGCACCAATTAATGCTTTTTTTTTTGTAGGGGGCAGAAGCCATGGTTCTGGAAAGTGTTATGTTTGCCATTCTTGCAGAGAGAGCTCTTGGCCCAAAGCTGTATGGAATCTTTCCGCAAGGGCGACTGGAGGAATTCATTCCCGTAAGTCCTGTTCATGATTAGTTAGCGGGCTGCTACTAGCTGTTTTAATTGATCATGACAAGAAGCTCTCTGGACTGCCCAGAAAAGCAGGGATGTGGGAATGGAATACTTGGCAGCCTGTAATAATTGCTCGCTGTAATTTGATACAGCTATAGTGGGTGTTGGAGAGCCCAATTATAGCTCTTGCCAGGGAGAGAGATTTAAAAAACTCTTCAGCTGTAGCAGAGAGTAATAAATGAAGATAAAAAGCCTGTTAGATACCAAACATAGCATTGGAAGCTATGGAGTAACACTTTCCTTTAACAGCAACAAGAGCAGATGGTTTTGATGTTCTTAAATATTTATACCCAATCTGCTTTGAAGATATTCTTAGTGTGAGATGTGATATTCCCCAGGTCTTGATGTAGAAGAGAATTGACTAAGTCATAAGTAAGCTAGGCTGGCTAACTTTGCCTTTCCAAAGACAGTAATTTTCTAAGTTCATTGAGGAGGAAAAAAAGCTATTGCTTGAGTACTACGCTAGTATTTTAGACCGTGCTATATAGACACTAATGCTAGTGTTTGTATTTAATCCCACTTTTGTAATTAACTGTATTTTAAGAATACTGTATTTTATTACAGAGCAGGAAACTAAGTACTGAAGAGCTAAGCTTACCTGACATATCTGCTGAAATAGCTGAGAAGATGGCTAGATTTCATGGCATGAAAATGCCGTTTAATAAAGAACCTAAGTGGCTTTTTGGAACAATGGAAAAGTAAGTTATGCAATACTTCAAAGCACGGAAAAAAGGTGACCTGTTGTGATTTTGATAAGCAGATCATTCTTCCTTGAATGCCTGAGAGCACAAGCTCTCACTGTACCCATAAACTGTTTTATAGATACTTGAGGAACTTCAATTTACTTTGAAGAATAGTAACATCTTCTTTAGTAACTTTTTTAAAACTTTCTTGATTTTTAGTTTAAATGGTATCTTAGTATGGGAGGACTAATATACTTTCTGTCACAAATGCTGTACTATTTTCTCTATTTTTAACAGATATCTAAATCAAGTGCTGAGGATTAAATTTACCAGAGAATGCAGAACTAAACAACTGAACAAACTCCTCAGTTACAATCTCCCCCAGGAAATGAAAAATCTAAGGTAGGCTTATTTTGTCTACCACTGTCTTCCAATTTGCATAGTTTCAGTATGAATTTGTATACTTGTTCAAACACATTATACAGTGTAATACCCTATATTCATTTTACTTTACAATTTGGGGATTGTTTTTGGTTCTGTAACCAACCTGAGTCTTGTGACTACCAATTGCTGATCTTACTTGCTGATCAGTGAAGTTGAACTTCGTTGTCCTGGTCTTGGGCTCCTAATTGAGAAAATAGGGTCTTGTTAGAAATGAACAGCGCTTCAAATTCTTACAACAAAATCCATTCTTTACTTGGAAGTGGAACTGAACTTAGTGATTTGTTACTTACAAGATCCTATATTGCTGTTTTCTAGAGCTATGCTTGAAGCTACTTCATCACCAGTCGTATTTTGCCACAACGACTGTCAAGAAGGTAAGCTGCTAATGTTTCATGACCTCGCTCAGTGATGTAGTGTTAAGCTGCCTTTTGGTCACTTGTTTGCTTTCTGAGAGGTAGTCTGATTATCAAGGTACTGCCCTGGCAGCTGACCTGAAACAGCAGCCTGCAGGTCCCCAGTGTGCAACAGTTGCAAGGCAAAGTGCGTTGGCTTCAGCAACTCTTTGGGCTAATTCAGAGAACCTCTGGTATCACAACTGGATTAAGCCAAGCATGTGTATGTGCTCTGTTAGTCGAGGTCAGTTGATGGAGCCTTGGGTATTTTCTGTTAAGACCGTACCTTTCTTAGCTGCCTGCAATATATATGATCAGGGTAGGATATACTTTATTCCTTTTAAAAGAAAGATACTGAAAAAGTACAGTGCATGGTGAAAATGGATACTAGGGTAGTTTGACTCAGCAGTTCTCACCTTGTACTGGTAAGAAACATTAGGAAAACCTTATCCACCTTTTTTTTTTAAGTACGTTCTCTCTGGGAGTCCTGGAGGGAATAACAATTTTTCTGAGTCAGTTGTCTAAAGAGATGAAAAGGAGGCAGGGCTGAAGGTGTTGGGTATGCTGTGTCTGTGCTCCCTGTCAGCTGTACAGTGGGTAAGCTGGGCTGAGCTGGCAGGATGGATGCATCCTAGGACTGTATGCAGGGCTGCATTGTTCTCGGGAGTCCCAGCCTTATTAGCTACGTCTGAAGAATTGGCCTGGAATAGGATTGCCCTGGAGGATAGGCACGTAAGGGTAAGCAGCACAGGGGGGAAAAGCCTCGTCTAGCTTAATAATGGTGGAGTTTAAGGTCTCATTGTTTTTGGTGTGGCAAGGTGCAGTACTGGATGTGTCAGAGCACGATAGGGCTGGGGCAATATTTGGAACCTAAAGTTCCAAGGTGTGGGGAGCAGGGTGGGGCGAAATACTGTGCTTGGTCTGTTTGTGCAAGGGTATGTCATAGAGAACAGATATACCTGTGGAGAGGAGACAAACTATTGCAGAAATTGGAATTACTCTAAATATATTTACTAGTTGGCACTTCACAGAGGGAAGCTCAATGTCTTGCAGATGAATTATAGTGACAAAGTGAATTGAAAAACAGATAAAGCACTCCCCCTGTTAGAAAAGCTCAGCCTTTTTCTTTATATAGGTACTGGTTGTGCCACGTATTAGAATAGCAAAGTTATCAGTCTGTAGGTTTCAGGCTGCTGAAAAGCAATTCCTGTCCCAAGTGTTGTGTGATCAATGATAGTGCTATGCAGGGATGAGAGATGCTGCATAATTTAGATCTCAAGCTGTGGAAAGAAACAATTCAGCAAGAGCTGCTAAAGCTGACAGTGTCACCTGAGTTAGCTGCAGGCTAGACACTGGAGAAGCAGTACCCTTGACAACAAGTCTACCTCTGCCTGTACAGAAGGAAACTTTCATGCTTCCAGCTTTACAAGGTTTATAGTGTATATATCTCAACTTCCAATGAGCTGGTATATGGCCAGTGCAACTTGGCTTCTCGTATCGTTCTTCTGCACAGATGTAAGGGATAATTGGGATTATCTAAACAATGTTTCTTAAGATACAGTATTGCTTTTCTATAGTTTTCCTGGGACTTTATTGAATATGCTGTATTGTCTTAAAATTTTCAGGTAATGTCTTGCTTCTGGAAGGCAGAGAGAATTCAGAAAACCAAAAGCTGATGCTCATTGACTTTGAATACAGCA